CTATATACTTCAGTCTTTGTTAATTATTTATTACAGCCAACGCAGGAGATGCGGGCATATACACGTATGTATGTATAATATAGTATATATATACACAACAAATGTTGAAACACAGCTATGAGTAGCGATGAGCGACCGATGCACCAGCGAGGTGGATGAGTGAGCCCGCGAGTAAATGCGTATAATGGCTCTTTTACACTTGATCGATAGCCCGAAAACGAGTGCCAATGGAATAGAGTATATAAATATTTCCAACACTCAGTTAGCCCCAAGGGTAACGGATACAATACATATATAAGTATATTTATATAGAAATACATATTAAACATCCATGACTGGAGTACAAACGCTCGTATTCATCACACAAACATCTGCCCCCACCGGGATTCGAACCCGGGACCCCTCGAGTAGGTTACACTTTGAAGGGTTTTTACTATTTTTACAGAAAACATATATTCAAAATTTTATTAGAATCCCACGAAAAATATAATTGCTTTCTTATCTATTGTCAGGTGACCGAAAACAAACGCCTGCGATTGGCGGAGCCTAAAATGACGTCACACGCTAGTAATCTTTACATTGTATCGTTTAACGTTTTAATGACAGTCGTGTGATGTCACATACCAGTTAAACGCCATACTGTCTAGAGAAACAATTTCGCGGCAACTTGGAAAATAGAGTTTTTGATTTAGTTTTATTTTTACTGAGATACACAACAGAATGATTTATATGTCCAATGAACATCGCTTCGGGTGCCCGAACTCGAGTAATCTCTCGGGCCAACGACCAACCGTGGCCGAGTGGTTTGTACGCCGGGTTTCATGGTGTCGCCGACTCGAGGGGTCCCGGGTTCGAATCCCGGTGGGGGCAGATGTTTGTGTAATGAATACGAGCACTTGCACTCCAGTCATAGATGTTTAATATGTATTTCTATATAAATATACTTATATATGTACTGTATATGTATTCTATCCGTTACCCTAGTATCCCATAACAGAAGCCTTACAGTGCTTACTTTGGGGCTAGGCTAATTGGTGTGAGTGTTGGAAATATTTATTTATTTATTTATTTATAATGGAGCCATTACGCGTACCACCGCGTACCGACCGAGGCCGCGAACCAATCATAACACAAACCAACACAATTATTTACATTAAAGTCAACGAGGTTAAAATCTCAGTGGATATGTATAAGGGGAACAAATAATGATACACATTTTGTGATGTAATAAATATTATTGTAGACTTATTGTCGACATTCAAAGCCTAAGTGTTAGAATTCACAGCGTTATTTTTATTATGTATTAGTTAGTTACACGTCAACATCATTTAGTTTAAGCAAAGTTGACTCATCTATCTCGCGCCGGCGCCATGCCTAGACACAGACTTCAGTAGGTACATATTTTAATTGCGTACTAACACCATCGAGCATCGGAAAGATTACATCTTATTTCGGTACAATATTACAAGTCTGAAATATATAAATCCATTACGCATACAATTTTTTAAAGTATTTTAATTATCCATTACTATTTAACTTAGATGACTATCTTTATGAGTTAATCGACAAAATGCTGGCCATTTACATGAGTCAGATATACGTTACGTTGACAATATAACATTAAAAGCCTAACAAATGAGAAACGCAACAATGTTTCAATCTCTACAACCGTACACGCAACAACGTAACCAAACTCTCCCATCAAAATAATCATACAATAAAAGCGTTACAATCGGTTACACAATGCTGTCGATTCTAGAGTGATTCTCTAAACTTAAAACTAAATTTAACATCAGTCTCTCCTTGTCATTCTGTATAGAGAATGGCAAGGATGCACTGTTGTCAAATTTAAATTTAGCTTTAAAGAATCATGCCAGAATCGACCTGAATGTCACATTATAAAATAATACATAAACAATAACGGTATAACTAAATAAATATTATACAATAAACCCATATATCACGAAATAAAATAGCTCGGGCGAATGTGTGAAAGTTTTTATCGAACGCAGTAGATAAATGCAGCGGAGACTATCTTTTTTTAGCGATTTTCGTTTTGGTTCACCGATTTATATGGGATTATTACTAAGGCTATTTCATTTGCAGACAATCTTATCACTATAGAGTAACACGAACAATATCTATATATTGTATACAGTAAACAAATGGTTGAATCTAATGAAATACAAAATACAATAAGTAACGCTGTGGTACGCAGTCCACGATATGATGAATAATCGCAAAGGAAATTAACTAGAATCCAGCAATGGAACAAGTGTTTGTATCGAGTTGTCGTCCAAGACACTACTAATGTTCTCATTCGACAGCACACACGTTTCTCTCACATCAGAACTGAATCACTACAACGGAGAAACTTTAGCGAGAAAAGGAAACCGATTTGCATCAACTCCTCGGGGGAAAAAATAAAAATAAGTACCACATCATACGCAGTTCAGAAAAGACCACTGACTGGTACAGTAACAACACAAGTTGTCCAAGGCACCTTAAAACATTAAACTTAATAGCTAAGTCCAATTTCTTTCATAAACTCTTTGGAATAACAGAACTCAACGGCTCGTCACAGAAATTTGGCAAAGCAATATGATGGTCGGTGGCCACTCTCCTCTCTATCTACACAACGAATTCCAATAAAACATTAAAACTATTATCATAATTGGTATTCGAAATGTTCATTATAAGATGCACATTATTTGATTTACGCGATACTATATACTATACATAATATATATATGTATATATAAACATGAAAGTCTGTACGTCCATACACTTTTCACATCCTTGTGCGGTCCGGTGGGTAGAAGTGCGCACTCACTGAGTAATACCGACGCCCCGGTTATATTAACTCCCTATAATTACGTACGCCACAGATCATCGCTTCACACGCATTAACACACTGAACGGGGTTACCATCGCTAAAAATTCAAGCCTGCTTTACTGTCAAAACACGATAATTATAAACAAATGTAGGGGAAACCACCCAATCATTGGCACTTTTGAGTTTAATTCGAAAAAACAAGGAGATAGGGGCCGTTCATAAAATACGTTCGCATACAAGGGGGGGGGGGGGTCTTGCTAAGTGTGACAAGGGGGGACGGGGTGTCTACGGCAACGTGACGTTCGTCGTTCATTAAAAAAAAATTAAATTAGTATTTCTTTCAACTATTTTTCTTTCTCAATTTTCATCAAGATAGAAAATCATTTATTTCGTATTTAGTAAACATATAGACATTCAAACGTATATAGTTTTATTACACAATAAAGTGTAACTAAAATAAACTATTGAAATTAATCATACTTGAGGGGTCTCCGTTTTTGTGACGGAATATTTCAAGAGGGGTCACAGAAAGTGTGACACAGCGTGACAATAGGGGGGGAGGGGGTCGGAAAAAGCTGATTTTAGCGTGACGTATTTTATGAACGGCCCCATAATAGATTATTGGAGGTCGTTACATATTAAAAAGAAAAACCTAGTATGGTTTCGAAATTTGAAAATTGGCAACATTATTCCTATAATATATTGTTTCCTGGTTTTTCGAAATAAACTCAAAAGTGCCAATACTAGGAAGAGTGCCAATGATTGGGTAGTTACCCCTACATTTGTGAAAAGTTAGGCGAATCGATTGTTAAGGAAACGCACTTTTGCGTTACAACAGTTATTTTAATTTCGAATTATTTTTTTGCATTATAATGAAAATGATTTGTAAATGTGCACTATTTAAATTGTGTGTTAATTTTCAAAAAAAAATGTATTTTTATAATGGCAACACTGAAGCACTTTGCATCATCGCCAATAAGGTAAAGGGATGAAAATCAAAGAAACAAACAACATAGTGCAACGAATTTTTTATATACACAACATATTAAAATTAAAAGTTACACTATCTAAACATAGCTTTTCGGTTTTATTCAAGTTGTTGTAACGCATCGCACGAAACGGAATGCTAGAGTGGAAACTCCATTGTCAGATTTGGAATACAACAAAGATTTGAGCATTAGCTCTCATTCAATCGAATAGGCCGTAGCAGTTTGCTAAAAACAAGCTTGGGTTAGTGCGTTCAGCGCGTAATAGAAAGTGTCGGCGACGAGTTCCGCGATCGTCGCGACCGGCGACGGCGTATATAAGTCGCGGCACGAAACTCCAGCGCTGACCTCCAATTATTGCTTTATTATTAGAAATTAAGATGTCCCGAGGGGAAACAGAGGAGCGCGGGCGGGCTATTGGCTCTCCAGTCATGCGCTTGCGCAGCTTTAGGGATGGCGATCTGAGATCGATTAATCGAAGAATCGATTTTTGGAACCAATAAGATCGATTTTATAAATCGTTATGTAGTAAGCACTGAATCGATTCAGTGAATCGATATTTCACCCTTGAAAATCGACATTCTATTTTTTTATTTTATATTTTGGTATAAACCAAAAAAGTATTTACAATTTTGAATGTACCCGTATTATAAGAGTGCTGCCGGTTAAAGCGTTAAGTTAACTACTGAAAAACTAACGAGACGGGTGTATGTTTAGATTTCTTCTAATAAAAAAAAAAGTTACGTTTGTTTGTAATCTTTGAATAACAATATTTTTTATCATCGAACTCCCTGATTTTACTGATAAAAGATCGTTAAAGTATAATATGTATCTTGTTTTTTTCTAGTTATATTTTCTTTAGATTTAAATACCAAGCAGTTACATGCTTTAAAGTAATAAAAATTATAATGTATCTTGTTTTTAATAAAATAGAGTTATATTATATTACTAGCTGACCCGGCGAACTTCGTACCGCCTTAGCGTAGCTTTGATGCACTACTTTATTTTGTATAGCTTTTAAATTGAATGAAGTTGACATTCGTTACGTTATATTTTTCAATCTTTCTGAGAGATTTTCGTTATATTTTTTTCCGTAAGAACCTTGTACAGAGTATTAGAAAACTACAAAAAAAAATCAGCCAAATCGGTCAAGCCGTTTTCATGTTATGTCGTGACAACGGAAAACGGGTTTCATTTTTATATATATATATAGATAGATAGATTAACAAAAACTTGAAAAAAAAAAAACGATTTTTCGGAAATCGATTTTTTTTGGCCTCGATTTTTTTGTGGATCGATTTAAAAACCGATTTTTTTTCCGAAACAAAACTTCGCCATTCCTACGCAGCTATCCCCTCCTCGTTTTGTTCAGCGCTAGAGTTACGTGCCGCTACCTCAGCAGTGCCACGGGGCGTACAGGTTGGCTAGACGACGCAGCATGCGCCGGTTGAGTCGATGCTATTCGTCGCATTTGCGACAAGCGCCGGGCACGTCAAAGTCCAACACCAGAAGCTTGGTCTCCTCCGTGCCATTCCTGGAGCCGACGGCGCATATGAGCTTCGTGGCTGATGCCCTGATCCGCCATACTACGCCTCCTGTACCGCCAGATCCTAGTTTAACCAGGTTTCGGATGAACTCACCGGTGCGCAAGTCCCACAGTTTGACGGTGCCGTCGTCGGAGGAGGTGATCACGAAACGGTTGCTCGATTGGAGGCATGTCACGGCGGATTCGTGCTTGTTTGGCCCTGTAAAATAATAATAAAAAAAAAATGGATGCGTGTAACTTATGTACGCGCGTGAGAAGTTATACTTCTTTAGCGTCATTAAAAATATTTTTTAATTGCATGCAAGTAATTAATAATTACAATAAAATAATAAAAGGACTGGAAAAGGATAGTTAACACAGTCAATTAAGTTCAGTTTTAATTAAATAAATATTCAAAATATTCAATTAAAATCACAACTGAATTTAAGTTATTAGTCCATATGTAATTAGCACTTGTAAGTAACTAAAACACGTTGTGTCTATATAGAAACTAGAAACATGTGGATAAATATTATAAATATGAAAACAGTGATCAGAGGCGACGAGCGTGCCAACATTGTTTTTGACAACGCGATCATCTTATGGAGCTCCGTGGATCGTTCAAAGTACCTTTCGAACAGATGTCTAATAATGGTGGATTATTAACCACTTAGTGGTTAAACACTAACATTCATAACGCGCCCGCGGCCAACTTCATGGTGTTACTATTGTGTTACAGTGATGCGCGCGCATCTCGAAATTTCACTCACATGATTTTTTCATAACGCGCCCGCGGCCAACTTCATGCTGTTACTTTTGGGTTACAGTGATGCGCGCGCATCTAAAAATTTCACTCTCATCATTTTTTCATAACGCGCCTAAAGAAGTATAACTTCAAAATTTGTGTGTGTCAGCTCCGACGCACGACTGGAATTCACTTCTTAAGTTCGATAGTCTAACCAGACGCAAAAAGGGTTTATTTAACTTAAAAAAGATTAATGTCAATCCGTCATCTTTGTTCGTCAAAGTTGCGCGACATAGGATGCGCACCAAAAACGTAACGAGGTCATTCATCGATAGATTTTACTCGTCACATTTTTCTCATACCGGGCCCCTTATATATGCAAATCGATTCTTAAGGAGTAAACTCCAATAATAAGAGGAACATTTATTAGTGTACACTTCAATAGCCGATTATAACAAGCCGAGTGGAAGTAAGACCTACCTCACTAAAGTTTATCATTCATCAATATCAAAGTTTTTAAAAGTAGCCAATTCACTTCCCTTCTTATATCCTACGCATCAACTTTACAAATACTGTAATGTGTTAACTGTTCGCCAGCTTATCATTATGCACACCATATTAAAACAACACACCATTTCACCTTTTTGCTCTGATATCACTAACAAAAGACGGAAAGATATAGTCTGCATCTCTACACATGATTCAAAATACATCTTTTCACATAGATTCTCTACTTTCCTAAGTCCTTTCTTATATAATAAGTTAAATAGAGTATTAGGTATTTATACATTAAACTATTTTAACTGTAGTATTTAATTATTTGCACAGCCTGACATACGAGCAGACCGAAGAATTACTTCTTATTTGTAAATAAATGAACGTAACTCCATAATTTACATTTACCAACATTTATACAATGATTACTTTAAGTTCTGTTTTAATTAATTTGTTAATTTATTAATCATTCAATGTATTATTTAGATCATAAAAGCCTGAATTACAGGTACAATTTTAACTGTAACCTAGTTCAGGCATCCATTATTTTGTACTTTATATTGTTATTAGTATTATTATGCAATGTATGACCTTATTTGAATAAAGATATATTTATTACTTATTATTATTAAAGTCATTTTGTGCCCATATTTGGCTCCAAGAACCGATGCGATGAATCACGACCGCGTTTAGGTAAATCTTCGTCCGTCTATTTCACAGTTAAATATACTTGACGGGTGATAAGGTAAACATTTTCGTTAATATAAAACAACTAGCAAACCAGTGAACCAAATGTTCAGCAAAAAAAATATGTATTTAATTAATTGAGAACTTCGAGATTTTGTGTGGTTTCGTTTGAAATAGAAATCACGTGATTTCTCGAAAACCGGAAGTGCTACGTTACTCAAATCCGGTTTGTAGTCTTATCAGACTATTCTTAACTTATAACTTAAACATTCTCTATATCTATCTCTTACGATTTGGCCGCTGAAACAGCACCACGGACGGACGGACGGACTTGTCTAATAGATAAGAGATTCTTAACTTATAACTTAAATATTCTCTTTATCTATCTCTTACGTTTTGGCCGCTGAAACAGCACCACAGACAGACGGACGGACTTGTCTAATAGATAAGAGATAATGCTCTGAGGTTATTGTTGGGACTGCCTCGATTCTGCAGCGCTTCAGCTATGTTTGCACATTACCGTGTGGATTGTTTTTATACAATCATGCGTAAGCGATGCACTTCTCTCGTCAGCAGGGTACGGAGCTAACATAATCCTTAAACTCTCTTCGAATAGATTTGACTGTCACTATATGAACCATGCGGCTATGATTCATGTAATGACTATATAAAATTTTGTTATTTGTATATAAGCATTAATCTCCACCAAATTTATATAACTTTGAATTTAAATTCTGACATTTGATTTTTAATAATAACATTTCAATTTTTTTCATTTAATCTTTTATTTGACCATTTAAAATTTTGACATTTTAAAACTGTAAATAGGTGTGAAACTGATTGAATTAAAATTTATTTTGTTTTAAATGTAATTGTATGTATGATATTATTTAATTTGTTTTTATGTATCATAATTATTACTATTTATTACTACTAGTAAACCAGTGAACCAAATGTTCACCATTAAAAAAAAAGTATTCCGTCCGTCCGTCTGTCTGTATTGCTGTTTCAGCGGCCAAACCGTAAGAGATAGATATAGAGAATGTTTAAGTTATAAGTTAAGAATAGTCTGATAAGACTACAAACCAATTACAATTTGAGTAACGTAGCACTTCCGGTTTTCGAGAAATCACGAATTTCAAACGAAACCACACAAAATCTCCGAAGTTCTCAATTAATTAAATACATTTTTTTTTTTTAAATCAGGTTTTGCTGAACATTGGGTTCACTGGTTTGCTAGTTGTGTATAATACAAGCCTGAGAACAAAAACTGTAGTCTACACTTAGCTCTACACCGAAGCGAAGCTTATTGATAGTTTATTGATAAATTCCTACCTGACAGCGTGTGCAGACAGTGGCCCGTGGTGATGTCCCACACTTTGACGGTGGAGTCCGCGTTTCCGGACACCAGGATGTTGGAGTGGAGTTCCATGCCTGATGTGAGGGACTGGTGGCCCGTCAGCGTATGCTTCAGCTGGCCCGACTCCACGTCCCAAACGCGGATCGACGTATCCAGTGAACCGCTTACCACGTGCACGCCGTCGAACTGACGCAACAACAAAACCACATTCATCATCATCATCAGCCTATTAATGTAGGGATGTCGAAAGTTGAAAAAAATATCGACATATCGATACATCGATATTTTAAAAAATATCAATATCGGCTTCGATATATCGCGAAAAAAACATTGATATATCGGACCAATTATCCCAAAAATATCGCTCACGAAATATGACACGCGGAATAATAATGGAACGAAAATTATCTCCCTAAAAATAGACCCTATTTTCGAATGATGACATAGACAATACTAAATACCGCACAGATCATAGATATGTTGTATATCATAAATCTGAGATCCAGTTACGATTTTTCCAGCTACGAATTTAGTTAGATCGTGATATGCCGCTAATAATTAAAAAAATATCGTTTTTGATACGAATTTCGATATTGGTTATTTTGTATCGATGTATCGATATATCGAATCAAAATATATCGGCAAAAAAATATCGATATATCGAACAAAAAATATCGATATATCGATACATCGATATATTTTCAACAAGCCTATATTAATGTCCCCACTGCTGGAGCATAGGCCTTCCCTATGGATGGAACAGGGAGATTGGGCCACGACCCACCACGCGGGCCCAGTGCGGATTGGTGGGTGCTAACGCCTGCAGATGCAGCCGGGACCAACGGCTTAACGTGCCTTCCGAAGGTCGCGGGTTCTGCCAGGCAGCAGACGGGACTCGAACCCGCACCCTTCGCTATCCAGGCGAATGCACTGAACATTATGGTAACGCGGCCCTGATGGCCGTGTCGAATTCGTTCTAGCCTTTCTTAAGCTGCAAAGCAGCGCCATCTCTACGCATTGTAGGTAACCCACAACGTCGATTCAATTCAAGTCAAAAAATATTTATTCTGTTTAGGCTTTTACAAATCAAAAACTACGCCATCAGTTCGCAAAACTACAGCGGGAGACCTTGTACTGAGAAGAACCGGCAAGAAACTCAGCAAGGGCTGCTTTTTTCTCCCTGTTTATTTCATACAGTGTCGTCAAAATGAAAGCTGACATTAAACTTGCAAACCTACGTTGAGGTCAACTTCCATCACATAATGTGACTTGAATACCTTTACAAGTACTAAACATTTGAAAGAAGAAACTTTTCTTTAGATTTAAACATCTGGGCAGTTAGTTACATGCTTAAAAAAGAGAAAATATAACTGAATCGGTCATTTCAAAAACCACATAAGTCACATTTTTTCCAACATGCTTTTTTTTGCTGAAAATGGTTCCTGAAAGGTAGATGCGTATTCTGGGTGAAAACAAGTTAGTCGATACAATCCTTTCTCTTTTAATAATATCGCGTGAAAGACGTTACGTTTTAAAACAAGTTCAAGATAGCATTCTGGAAGAGCATGTGCCATTTTATAACAACATTTTTAGCTGGCCAACTGCAAATGTTGAAGATAATCCAAACGAGAATGATGGAGAATATCGCTATGTACCATAAAGATATTAAAAATGTTAAATGTAAAATGTTAATAACACTATTTTTCGAGGAGCTCGAGGCGCAATTCTCGGTAGGTCGGAGGTCGGTCATTGGATGGGTGACCAAAAGTTTACTATCTCGAGCTCCTCCGTGCTTCGGAAGGCACGTTAAGCCGTTGGTCCCGGCTGCATCTGCAGTCGTTAGCACCCACCAATGCGCACTGGGCCCGCGTGGTGGGTCGTGGCCCAATCTCCCTATTCCATCCATAGGGAAGCCTGTGCCCCAGCAGTGGGGACATTAATAGGCTGATGATGATGATGATGATGAACATTATTTTTAAGTGTAATTCTTAATTATAAGCAATAATAGTACATTACGATACGCGCGACCTAAGTTGCCTATTACTGCACGGCGTGAAGTTAGCGCCCGGTGCTAAACGCCGTGCAGTAATAGACAACTTAGGCCACAAGTATCGTATACTATTTTATAGCAAGTGTGACATAAACCCGCCCCAGACGCGGGCAAGAGGGGGGGATAGTGTTTTGAAAGTAAAATTCATGTATTGCAATCACAAAGAATTGCAATACAGACTGCAAGTCAAACTCTGAAAAGAAAGAATTCCGGTTCAGATTACCATTTTGAAAGTATATTTCAAAAGGAAAAAATCAAATATCATTACAACAAAATAGAATTTCAATATATCCATGAACGTTTATTCCTTGATTGGCATAGTAAAGTTAAGTTACGCGTATCGTAATGTACTAATTCTACATGAGTGAAGTTGGTCAATTCATTTACACACAGTGCAGAAATAGGCAACTTAGGTCACGGAAAAGCGTGCGTAAAGTGCGGGTCACACTGTGCTATAAAAATATTATTACTTTAAATTAAAATATGATTACTACGATTGTTTTGGTTAAAATTTAAACCACTAACCCTATTTCTCGCTTAAACAACATAAGTCAAAAACTGTTTTTCAGGGTTTTTTTCATTATTTCTATTAATAGACTGTAAAGGTTATACGCTATTTTAATTTTTTACTACTCAAATACTAAATTCAACATAAAAAAAGTCCTTTACAACTCATTAGTTTATGTATGAAACAGTTTTTATTGATTACTGAAAAAATATAATTTTGTGACTTATGAGGTTGTTGAAATGACCGATTCAACTATAATGGTTACTTATACCTACCTATCATCATCATCAGCCTATTAATGTCCCCACTGCTGGGGCACAGGCCTTCCCTATGGATGGAATAGGGAGATTGGGCCATGACCCACCACGCGGGCCCAGTGTGGATTGGTGGGTGTTAACGACTTAACGTACCTTCCGAAGCACGGAGGAGCTCGAGATAGCAAACTTTTGGTCACCCATCCAATGACCGACCACCGCGAAAGTTGCTTAACTTCAACGATCGCAGCCGAACGCGCTAACCAGATGCGCCATCGAGCTCCTCCTACACTATAGTCGAAGTATACTGTAATACCACTCACCTGCAAACTATACACCCTGTTGGTGTGTCCGGCGAGTGTATGCAGACACTCGCCCGTGTCCGGATTCCATACTTTGACGAAGTAATCGTAGGCGCCGGAGACGACCACTCGGCCGTCGTACTGGACGCAGCGAACGGCCGCAAGATGGCCGACCAAAACGCGGAGACAACGGCCCTCGGGGATCGACCATACGCGCAACGTGGCGTCGCGGGAACCGGAAACCACACTGATGGAAATGGAAACCAGATAAAAAATAAAACGCAACACACACCAATGAGGGCTACCGTTTTCTGCCTCACCAGATGGCGCCACTGTTGAGTGAGGTCCTAAATTGTAACTTTTAAAGTTTATTAATACGCACATGAAATCAAAGGTTACATTTTAACACAAAAGAACCATATCCTAAACATAATAGGCCATGCCACAGTGACGCGCAGTTCCGTTTTATTCGGAAAAAATGGGAACATAATCATTTTTCTAAGCTCAAATTTTTAATAACTGACATTCATTGCCACATAACTCATATTTGCCCTAATTAAGCCGAATTGTTACCGATTATTCACAACATTATTTTAATTAGAAATAAACCCGCGTCACAGCGGTGACACTCCCTGTACGTGAGAGTTCCAGCGTCAGTGACCTTGAGCAGGAGCGTGTATGCGCTAGGGTTGAACTTGGAATTTAGACTTGTGCCAATGAATATTTATGCATAGTAAGTTATTAAATGTAAACTGATTCAAGAATACTGGGGTAAATAATGAAGGATAGGTTTGATTTTATAATCAATTTTTAATCATTTAATGTAGGTACTATAACAAATTGCTAACTTTTATATATTTTCTCCTTTTTCGATTCGTTTTATAATTCTTATTATTATCTAAATAATAATAACATTGCGTAGCGTAGTCAGTCTGTGCGTGCAATGTAGTGCAACGCTATTATTTTACTATTTCGCTACTGCCATCCCTTCGGTCTCGGCAGTCGGCGACTGCCCTCTCCACGTCCCGCGCGCCGCGCAACGCCCCCGCGCACCTCCAGACACCCACACATAGCAGCGGGCGATTTTACGAGCACACATGCTTAAGTGTCGCTTCTTTTCGCGTAGTGTATATATTCTGTGCCCGCGTAGTCAACCAACAAGCAATAACATTTGACATTTCGGAGACCTCACGCTACACTAGCGCCTCTAGCGGCGGATTCATACGCGATAGCCCTCATTAGCCTAGCCCCAAAGTAAGCACTGTAAGGCTTGTGTTATGGGATGCTAGAGTAACGAATAGAATACAGATATACTGTACATAAATTAAGTATAGTTATATAAATTCATATTAGACATCCATGACTGGAGTACAAATGCTCGTATTCATCACACAAACATCTGCCCCCACCGGGATTCGAAACCGGGACCTCTAAAGTCGGCGACACCATGAAACCCGCCGTACAAACCACTCGGCCACGGAGGTCGTCAGATAATCATAATCAGAATCAGAATCATTTATTCAGTTTAGGCTGTTACAAGCACTTATGAATGTCAAGAAGCTACGCCATCGGTTCGTAAATCTACGGCGGGAGACCTTGTACTGAGAAGAACCGACAAGAAACTCAGCAAGGGCTGTTTTTTTCTCCCTGTTTCATTATTTACAGAGTCGTCAAGTTGCAAAATGACTTCAGAGATGATTCTTGAAGTCACCTTTCATTACATAATGTGAAATTATACATACAGTATAAATACAAATACTGTTATTTGTGTTAGGTGTAACTAGACAGTTATATCTGAAATATCAAAGTAGTTAGGGCAGACTCATCTCCGCTGGCAGCATCCGTTCACGAGCATGACGCATGAACGCTTCGCTCAACCATGTTTTAGGGAACACGACACCGAGATAGGTAACCGTTAAAAACAGAAAATACATCTTAATATATATAAATCTCGTGTCACAATGTTTGTCCTCAATGGACTCCTAAACCACTGAACCGATTATAATAAAATTCGCACACCATGTGCAGTTCGATCCAACTTGAGAGATAGGATAGTTTAAATCTCAAATTATAGTCGCAATTTTAATTTATTGCAAATTATTACTTTTGGGCGGTACGAAGTTCGCCGAGTCAGCTAGTAGCTTTATATATTTAGATTCAATGTAATTTTATATTGAAAGGTCAGGAAAAAGGCTATGTTTCCAGCTATGAAGCAGCGGCCCTAGGGGATCGACTATACGCGCAACGTGGCGACACGGAAACCCGATACCACGCTGATGGAAATCAGATGAATATGTAACCGTTAAAATCCGAAAATATATAACTAACTAACTAAACTAAACTAACAAACCAGTGCACCAAATGTTCACCAAAAAAAAAATTAATTCAGAACTTCGGAGATTTTGTGTGGTTTCGTTTGAAATAGAAATCACGTGATTTCTCGAAAACCGGAAGTGCTACGTTACTCAAATCCGGTTTGTAGTCTTATCAGACTATTCTTAACTTATATCTTAAACATTCTCTTTATCTATCTCTTACGGTTTGGCCGCTGAAACAGCACCACGGACGGCCGGACTTGTCTATTAGATAAGAGATACAGGTCGTCCCACGGCATTGTCACACGGAGGGAATGTATATAAAATATAGGATATTTTACTGAAACAAGACATCATTTTATTAAATAAAACAAGTTTCAATGGTATAGATGCACTGATTTATTAATTTATTGACGGTTCGTCAATAAATTAATACAGACACAGATACATACAGACGCAAGATTTTTTTATTTTATTTATCAAATGTCCAAACTGTGTTTCATTCTGTAGTATAGGTATACAAATTGTCACCCTTTTAATAATTTCACTGCCTGTCGATAAACTTAACTCTGCATGGTAAATGATTCAAATAAAACGTCTAAGTTAATTTTGTAACCAAATTTATGTTATTTTGAAAAAAATAATAAGATAAGATAAGATAAAAACTCTTTATTGCACAACACAGTAACAAAACAAGCAGATACAAAACAAGTAGAAAAATACAACATTGCACAAAGGGCGGTCTTATCGCTAATGAGCGATTTCTTCCAGACAACCCAAATAATACTTATAATTTACCCTTTCGACGGTTATCATCAAATACGTAATGAGTTTCTTATTCACATTTCACGAGTTTGATTACTGGTTGTGGCATACGATTTAAAAAAAATCTGTTAATGCAGTTCTCATCATCATCATCATCAGCCTATTAATGTCCCCACTGCTGGGGCACAGGCCTTCCCTATGGATGGAATAGGGAGATTGGGCCATGACCCACCACGCGGCCCCAGTGCGGATTGGCGGGTGCTAACGACTGCAGATGCAGCCGGGACCAACGGCTTAACGTGCCTTCCGAAGCACGGAGGAACTCGAGATAGAAGATTTTTGGTCACCCATCCAATGACCGACCACTGCGAAAGTTGCTTAAGTTCAACGATCGCAGCCGAACGTGCTCACCACCTGCGCCATCGAGCTCCTCATGCAATGCAGTTCTACTTATTATTAAAAATAAAAAGATGTCTTCTTTCAGTAAAATATCCTATCTCCAATATTTTATATGCTGTCCCTCCGTGTGACAATGCTGTTGGACTCGCTGTATTTAGATTCAATGTAATTTTATATAAAAAAAATAAAGTAATTTTTCAAAAGTCAATTCACAGAGCCAAATACTGTAATCCAAACTATGGATGAAATTAACTACGGAAATGGGTCATCGTTGATCACATAAGCATCTCTTATCTATTAGACAAGTCCGTCCGTCTGTGGTGCTGTTTCAGCGGCCAAACCGTAAGAGATAGATAAAGAGAATGTATAAGTTATAAGTTAAGAATAGTCTGATAAGACTACAAACCGGATTTGAGTAACGTAGCACTTCCGGTTTTCGAGAAATCACGAATTTCAAACGAAACCACACAAAATCTCCGAAGTTCCCAATTAATTAAAACATTTTTTTTTATTTATTTTTTTATTTTTTTTTTAAATCAGGTTTTGGTGATCATTTGGTTCACTGGTTTAGCCTTATAATATATTTCCGGACACATATATCGACCCATTGAGTGTTATAAGTTTCAATGGTCTGCAGAAATAATATATGTTTATGGTTGAGAAATAATTGAGATGGGATACACACAAAAATATGGTTAATAGATCAGCTTAAAAATGCGTAGATGTAATAACAACATCTTGCTCAATGTAACATTTATTTTTAGCTAGGGACAATCAAAACTTAAAATTCTAGGTGGGTCGATAGATGTGTCTGAAAAAGTACTTGTCTTCTATATATATAAAACTCAAAGGTGACTGACTGACATAGAGATCTATCAACGCACAGCCCAAACCACTGGACGGATCGGGCTGAAAGGACAATGTTAAAATTGGCCTAAGAACCAACACCAATTTGGCATTTATGATAATTCTTAGTATATTTTTTCCGATAATTATCAGTATTTAGATTGTGACGGACACTTCCAGTTAAGTAAGCTAAATTAAAAAGTTAAAAAATAATCTGAGACAATATATAACATTTTATGTGTATAATCTATGACAGCGTTGCAAACAAAACGCTATTTCTTCCTAATGCCGGCACTTCACTTGGCTTAGTTTTCCAATTACAGAGCATAATGCGACTCAGTGGCGCACAATGCCGAATTATGCTGATGCTTAATTGGAACGTGAATTAGTTTTCAAATGCACCAGGAGAGTGCGCTAAGTCAATGTTTGTACCTTCATCCATACTTATATTTATTTTTTTAACACAGTTTGAATTAACTTTGATTATTTTAAAAGAACTACAATGAAACGAAACCTTTAAAAAAAATCAACAAAACAATGAAAAAACACTTGTTAATTTTCTGACACTGAGTTGGTAGATTGCATGCATCACACGAAAACATTAGGTACTTTTGAGAGTGCTCGAATGTGCGAAGCGTTGCTGTAGTTGTAATATTCAACGATAAGCATTATGCCGCATAATTCGCTCTAGTGCTGTAATTGGAAAACTACCCTTATTAAGCATGACAAGGACAAACTGTTGTCAAGTGAAGGGCCGGCATAAAACTCGTTACTCTGTGTTTGTGATGCAGGCAGTTTGCATTCGTAGTAATCTGTGGCATTCGTGCATTTCAAAGAGTAGTTTAATACAAAGAGTAGTATTTTTATTATGGTTTAATGTTTAATATACCGGAAAGTGCATTCTCGTTTCGGATTACCTGTT